AAGCGTTTCAAAAATAGTAGGTGGACTTAACCTAGAATCACGATTAATTTTGAAGAGAAATTATAAATGACTGTTGATGTGGGCTGTTACATCAATTTTTCAACAAAACTATGGGTCCTATTTTAATAATAGATCGTAACACAAAACTTCTGTATAACGTTTTTCATACAAGCACAACGGTGGTCCTCTTTACATGTTGATGGTAGTTGATCTGCATTAAAAACAGCAATGTGGTGATAAAATTAACGCATGCGCCAATAGTTATTGCCAGCATAGAGCCGTAAACCTTGAATTCTACGATTGGCATGTCCCACGTAATAAATGCGAAAGTTACTAGCATGGTAGAATAAATCAAGAGAGGGATAAATTTTATTATAGTGGATACATACTTTAGATCAAGGATTTTTCTATCCTTTTTAAAGAAAAAGTACTGTATGTTCCTATTGATTAATATCACAAAGCATGCATCAGCCAGCATAACTACGATTGGGAGGTTTGTAGCTGCCTCATTCAATGTATTAATTATTGCAATATTAGGTCTATAACTACTATAGAAAAGAATGCTAAAAGATAGCATCAATAGAAACAGTTTAACGGATTCAAAAACACAGAAAAGTTGGAATGGTATGCTGAACCTCATTCCATCATCACTCCATACCCTTTTGAGCTCGCACATAAAATAAATAATAACGGTGATCACGAGAAAATGATTCAGGCATGACGTATAAAGCTTAAGTACTTCTCTCAGGATTGTAAAAACAAATCCTACTTGCTCCAGCTCTGTGCTTGTTTCTCTAATACTACGTAGCCAAGAGGATATATTGATGCTTCCTAGTCCAATACCATCTCTAATCAAAAAGAAGATACTATATGCATAACTGTCATCTGTGGAAATATTGTCGAGAGCTTTGCTACTGGTATTTTCCATTATTTTAGAAATATTCATAGCACAAGGGTCAGAAATTTTAATCTTTTGACAGTTTTTGATAGATCAGAACTAAAAATATCATTTTTAGGACTTAATTGGTAATTTTTTGTAATATGTAAATATTTTAAAGTCGTACTTTAATAGCTCGGAGAGCAGGCAGGATGCATCAATGTGCTACTATATTGATCAAATAAAATGGGTCGGAATGTCCAAAACACCATCAAACTGACTGTTGAATTTATTCCTACTTCTAGTTTTTTGCCAATAAAATTTTCATCCCAAGTAATGAGTAAAGACAATATCAAGCACAGCCGCAAGATGAGGCTTTGGAATCCAGCAGATAGAATTTCAGATGAGCCTTTGAAAGAAGGCGATGAATATTCTATCTGTGAGCAGTTTTTTAGAAAAACCAATAGCATCGAGAACGAGGTTGTTTACATTCCAGACATTTCAAAGGACTATGTTATGTCAAACGCCTATAGCTACGAGCCTTTTGATTTCTATGAATTCTGCAATAGAGACCATTGTATTGAGACATTGAAATGTTTAAGATTGCGCATGCAAGTCTTTGAGCTTTTGGAGTATGCTAGGAATGAAT